GATCTTGCCTACCCACCCAGCCTTTCCCTCGTTCCTTTGTTCTCCAGCGCCGCGCAAGGTGGATGCCCGGTGAAGGTCAGCGCTTGCCAGCGGACTCGAAGTTCCGCCCTTCCCGGGCGAGGGAAGAGAAAGGAGGAGAGGGGGAGAAGCCGCGGGCTGGGGCTGGGGTTGTGGTAGGGGGTGAACCAGCGCTGGCTCGCCCTGCGAAGCCCTGCGGTGGGGTGTGTGGAAAGCTCCCCTTGGACCTCCCTTGGCTGGGGTCCCGCCTGGAACTGGAGAGGGGTCCGGCGACATGGCACGCAAAGGGAGAACGAAGAGGGCGCGGCGCGGCGCCGCGCAGGGAGGCAGGAGAGCGCGGGCGCGCCTTGGGCACCCTCCTCAAGGAACACCCCCTTTCGGACCGCTTAAGCGGACCGCACTTGGTGGATGGGCTCGGCCACTGGCCCCTTGGGCACCTCGAGATCCAAGACCAGCCCTCCTCGCCCTGCCCGTCGCTGGAGTGACTGAATTCATGGCCAGAGAGATGGGGAGGCGCTTTGGGGGCAGCGGTTTCGTCGTCTCTAAACCGTTGCCCCCCCAAAGCACCCACGAGGCTGCTGCCCCCCTTAAATAAATTCTGAGGCGTTTTACCTGGCAGAAGCTTTCATAGACCGGAGGCTAATTCTTCTGACCCAAGCCGGCTACAATGGGGGGTGGGGCAATGATGCCACGTAAAACTGGTTAGACATGGAGGCGCATCCAAGCCTCTCTCTTGAATCCAGAGAGGTGGCTAAATAACTTCCCGGGCACTGAGTTGGAGGATCTTGGGGGGGGGGGGTCGCGTAGGGGCATCCCCCCTCCCAGAGGGAGCACCTTAATATTTACTTTGCTTCGTTTATATGCCAGGGTGCCAGGGAAGGGGGCTTAATTCCCTCCGTGCCATTAGCATCCACAGGGCCATGATAAGAGATCCTCTCCCCCCCTTTTTTTTTTTTTATTTCTAGGTGTGCACCTAATCTTCTCTGTGGGCTTAGTCTTCAGAATAACCAGCCAGCCAGCCGGGGCAGGAAGCGCTCTTCCAGGAAAGTGAGTTTAAACAGGAGGCAAACTAGATAACAAAGCCAGACCTCCCCTCTCACTTCCTCAAGGACTAGCTTATTTTTCACCTGGGACCTTTGAAATGGGGATGGGTTTATTATAAGCAGCAACACTCCATTTACAAAGGCAGGCCTCGCTGCTATTCGTGGCCGATGAACTGATTGAAAATGGAGGCCAGGGTGCTTCCGGAAAGCAGCGATGGGTGTAGAACACTGCTCAGCCTACACACTCGTACACACAGCTCTATGATGCTATTCTGATGTACTGCAGTGATACTGCCCCAGCACCTCCCTTTGTATTATTATTATTATTATTAATTTAGAAAGGAAAAAGGGGGCAGCCCTGAACTGCAGGACACAAGTTTTAGGGGGGGTTTTTTTGCATGAGCTTAAGAATTAAAAAAAAAAAAAGTTAATTTTGGGAGAACACATTGTTCAACACAATGGAGTACTGTATTTCTATATGGTTGTTGGACAAAAAGCTCATGGAAATATATATATTCCCCTGCTGTACCTAACAGCTCTGTGGAAGAAAATGACCTTGGCTTGGTTGGAAGAAAGGAGGCAG